ACTATTTGGGCAAAATCGTGCCACCAGATCGCGCCCCATCTTTTCCTGCCTGTCCGAAGGTCGGGGTATTTGCACCTAGGCGGGCGGCGGACCAGGGCATGGAGCTCCGACCCCGCTGCGCAAACTTTGGGAGGTGTCTGTCCTGGGCAAGAAGGGGGAGGTGGGTCGCGGGGTGGGGATCCGATGAGCCCCCTCTTCTGGGTACCGAGCCTGCAGTGATCCAGCTCGGTTCTTGACCACCCCCCACCCCTAAAAAAAAAAAAAAAAAAAGAGTCCTACGTGCGCCCGAAAAGCGCTCCAGGGATTAGGGTAGGGTCCGCGGAGGTGGGTGGCCGCTGAGTTCTGAGAAGCTCCCTCGATGGTGCGAGTAACCGAGCACCCATACCAGCCTCACCAAGCCTTCCTAGAAGGAAGTGCCCGGCTCGGGCGCCTCTATCCCAAGCGGAGATCGGCGAGGCCCAGGCCACCTCGGGGTCCGGCATTCGCAGGGATGGATGGTGGTTGGCATTCAGTGGCGAGGCCGTCCCCTCTCTTTTGGCGAACGGGGAAATTCTTGGCTTGATTCCCTGAGCGGTCTCGGGGTCCCCCAGGCCGTGATCAGGAGAGCATGGCACTTGGCGTGGCCGGGGACACCAGCGCGTGAGCAACAGGAATGAGGACAGACGCGGAGATTTATGACCGCAGCGGGCCCCAAGCGCATCTTCATCCTCTCAGAGCCAAACAGTGGAATGGAAGACGCGACCCGGGCCGGAGGAAGAGGCCAGGGTCGGAGGCGGGGCCGGGAGGAGCTGGAATCCGCGGCGGCCCGGCCTGGCACAGCGGCCCCGGCTCTGCCCGCCGTGCGCCCGGGTCGTCGCGGCGTGCGAGGCGCGAGCGTCGCGTCCTTGGTCTTCCTGGCCGGTCCGGGAGGCTCTCGGCAGGGCTGGCTGAACCTCGGCTGGGCGCCGAACAGCCGCCGGATCAGTGGTAGTGAGAGATGTCGAGCATGGTTGTCCCGGGTGTTGCCTCTCCGGGTTTTAGTGGCGTCCGGGCCGGGAGCTCCTGGGGATGCCGGATCTAGGACCTGCGGAAACCCGCGCTTAGGTGACCCGGCCGCGGCCTTCCGATCGGACCGGAGATGCCGGCGATCCTTTGGGGTCTCCTTCACCAAGACGCTGGCAGAGAGTCCCGAGGCTTCGATTCTTGCCTACCCCACCCCCCGGGACAGGCGGCTCAAGGGCGACAGCTCAAGGGGGTGGCTTCCTTGCTTTCCAAGGAAGGGATACTTTTTTTTTTTTTTCCGGGGGAGGAGCACGGGGAGAACTGTGTCCATGCGGTCAGCGACACCAGGGCTCTGGGGGAACAGGGTTCAACCTTGTACTTGGGCAGAAGTGAAGGAGGCGCGGGCTCCCCCAAGCCGGCCCTGCCCGTGGTTCACCCGAGCCGACAAAGGCGCGGCTGGGGAGGCCGCGGGGCTCAAGGTTGGTCCGTCCTTTGACTTTACAACAAACAGGCACAGTTTGGCAGTCGGGACGTGTCCTGGGTGCCGAGGACGGAGCCGGCAGCCTTGGAGTAGACTAAAGGCCTCCGTAGGGGCGGCTCCGGGTGGCCATGGACAACTGGGCCAGGAGGAGGCCGGCCTGGCTGTGTGGCTTCTCCGGGAACTGCGGTTTGGGGCTGCGTGGAGGTTCCTCCACCCCCCGGCCGATTTTCCGCCCAGTCAGTACAAAACACACACACACACACACACCCACTGCGTCAACACAGTTTTTGGCCACCGATCCCGCCGAGTAAACAAGCACGAGGGGTGGGGGTAGGGCGCGGAAGATGGCGGCTGGACGTGTGGCCTGTGCGGTTGCCACTCCAGCGCCAGGCTCGCGCGCCTGATCTTTTTAAGTGTGGTCCACCATGGGAGAAAGGGCATCTCCCCAGACCCTGAGGCCAGGCTAGGCTGTCCAGAGGCCCACCCCCCGTGTGTGATCGTGAAATAGAGGGGTCCCCAAGGGGGCAGGGCAGCAACCTCCGCTCCTCTTGGGATGCATCCCACGCCCCAAGATGGCTCCTGGCCGCTGTTTACCCAGCGATTGTGGGGACGCCAGGGTGCGGGGCTGGAGAGGGGTCAAAGACCAGGACGCGCACCCAGCCGCCCCTTGATGATCGGTCCGCGCCCCACGCATGAAAGCAACCCGGAGAAGCAGCGCGGGCAGGATCTGTCCTGTGCGCCCTGCCGCGTCCCCAGGCCCCGCACTGGGTGTCTGCAGGGCCGCTTGGCGGCTCGAGCGGGTGCGGGTGGCAGGGGGGACGAGAGGGGGCCCAGGCGCCCAAATTCCATCGGGGAGGCAGAGCCACGTCTACACCCGGACCGCTGCCCTAATGAAATGCCGGCTTGGTTCACCACGCCGACAGGGCGCACATTTGAAAAATGCAAACGCCATTGGCAAATCCAGGGCAAATAGGCAGAATTTTTATTAGCAACTAAATGATTTATGGCACACATACCCCGCCGTCACAATTACGGCGTCTGGGAGCATCCAGGGGTGAAAACATTAAACATTTATAAAAATAGGCCTTTGTTGTTTTTTTTTTTCCACCCCGCAAGCCTTTTGCGTTATTCTGCAACTCTCTCAAGATACATATTTTTTCTTGAGCTATATTAAAATAAGAAAAACATTCCAGATCCCGGGCGGGATAAGGGGGTGGAGAATCAGGGCCTGTGCTCCGAATATTGGAGAGAGAAGGGGGTGGGGAAGCGATGGGACTCCGGCGTGGGAGGGTTTACTTGGAACCCACAAAGGCCTCTGGATGAGACTCAAGGGCGCTCGGTGCCCCCCTCCCCAGCCCCTTCTCCTGCCCTGGCTTCCAGCAGCCTCGCGCAGATCCAACTGCAGTCACCCCCCGCCCCTTTCCCCTAAGGCACACAGACACAATACCTCCTTTCTCTAACACCCCCCTCTCTCGGTCTTTGCTCCTTGTTGTCCCGGGGCTGCACCGGGCGCCTCCCGCCGCCCAGGTTGCCACTGAGACCCGTGCGCCCAGCTCCAAGCGCGGCCACCACCGCTAGTTCCCTTCGGCTCCGGCTATTTTCGTTCCTTTTCTCCCCTTCTCACTTCTCCCTCCTCCCCCTGCGGAGCTCCAGCTTCCAAAAGAGGGCGGCCTAGAAACCAGCGCAGGAGCTACAGAAGGGCAACTTGAAACTGCTCTCCAGAGCCCGAACTTTTTTTTTTTCCCTCAAATTTATCCTGGAATTAAATTAGACACCCCCAGTTCGTTCCCGAACCCTCCCTTTTATTTCTAAAAGTGAAGAAAATAGAACGAATGGGCGCGCTAACTAAGCTCATCCCTCCTCTCCTCCAGTAAAGTTCCCTTAAAAATGGATTTTTCTTAAAAAAAAAAAAAAAGATAGGAGCAGTGCTAAAACGCTGAGTCCGCAGAGCGGGGTGAAAAGAGCGGGCTTCTGTTTTAATTAAAACCTTATCACCACGGTTGTTCTCCAAGGCAGGATCGCCAAGGATTTGTATACTTCCAAGCGTCCTTTCGAGGGTAGGTAAGCCTAGCCGGGCTCGGGTGCCTGCGGGGCTGCGGATGGGGTGCGGGGTCCCTAGGACTTCTCCCTCTCGCAGGGTCCGCGCGCTTCCTGCGCCCCCAGCCTGGTAAGATCTGCAGCGGGCAGCTCGCAGAGACTCAACCCAGAAAGGATTTTGCTGAAAGCGCAAAATAAAAGTACAAAGTCTGGGGGATTGGAGCTCCCCTCCCCCTCAGGCTGCCATGGCCAGCCAAGCACTTTTGGGCTTGGCTGCTGCTTCCTCTGAGCTCAACAGATTTTTTTTTTTTTTCCCGGTCTCGCCCTCCCTGGAGGGGGCGCGGCGGATGGAAGGCGAGAGAGGCCCCCAGCCAAGAGGTTTTTAATATTACACTTTAATAGGTTTCAGAAGGCCCCGTGGAGAAATGCTAATAGGCTGAAATGTCAGAATCGAGAAGGATTCAGCTTGCACTCAGCCGATCTAATCCTTTTTTCTGCTCTGATTTTTTTTTTGGGGGGGGTGGAAGGAAGAGAAAGGGGACGCCCACGCCAAGAGGGGCCTTTGGGGAGGGGCGCACGGCGCAGGGCGCTGCAGCCCAGGCTGGGGCGGAGCTGGGGGGCGCGCCCCGGCCGCGTTTCTATAGGAACCCCTTTTAGAAGATTATAGACTCACCGCTGCCCGCCGCCGCGGCCTCTCCAAAATATCAACGAGTAACCATCTGACACCGCATTTCAGGGGAGGGACCCGCAGGCTGGGGCAAGGGAAACGGGCTTCTCGCCTGCCCATCCCACCCAACCGCGCTGCTGGGGGAAAGGGGGATGAATTGCTGCTTTGTTTTAAAAGGAAGGAAAAAAAAAAAAAGAAAGAAAAAGGGAAAAAGCAGCCCTTGTCCACCGCGCATTCTAGAGGCGCACCCCAGGGGAGGTGGGGGGCCCCGTCTCGGGGCGCAGGGTGCAGCCCGCCGGGCTCCAGGCCCTTCCCGGCTCTCTTGGCTTGTCACCTCCTCCTGCTAGCAGGAAGCTGACAGGCGGCCCATTAAACCGCGCCTTGCAAAGCCCTGGATTGCGGCGACAACCATCTTCCTCTATTTTGATCACTGAGCCCAGACGCTGGAGGAAGGGGGTGGGGGGGGAGGAAAAGGGAGGAGAAGGAGGAAGGGGGGGCAGAGCTGGTGGAGGGGGAGGGCTGCCTAGAAACGGCTCGGAAAAATTCTCACCACCAGTTTTGATCATTCAGCCCCGCCGAGGGGAGCCTGGAAACTGCTGGAGCCCCGAGGTCCGTAATTGGTTTTATAGGAATGGCTGAGGGCCAAGGTGTTTACATGTGCGTGATGGGCAGCGCTCTGGGCCAATCCGCAGCGGACGGGGGCCGACCCAAGGGGGGGCGGGCGCTGGGGAACAATGCGTGTTTCTTAGCCTGGTAGGGCTCCCCTCCCCCAGCCCCCCCCCCCGCTGTTTTTTTTTTTTTTTTTTTTTTTTTTTAGATCCAGCGAGAGGAACTTGAAAGGGGGGTTGTGTAACGTACCTTTTCCAATCCCGGGCTGTATATGGAGATTTGGGATTCTTTAAACCGGCGCTACCTGGATTTTATTAAAAAGCTGGGAGCTCGGCGCGAGGAAAGCTGGCTTTTCCGGGGGCTGCGGGAGCCGGGCCGCGGGAGGGCGGAGGAGTTGGCGCGCCGAGCGCTCGGCCCGGGGAGCGGTTTTCTACCAAAAAAAGGAAAGGCGGTCAAAAAGTGTGAGGTGGCCACGGGATGGCGGGCGGCAAGGGCGCATAGCTGCGCCGGGAGCCGGGGCCACCACCGGAGGAGTCGCTGTTGCCGGAGCCCGGAGCTGGGAGCCCCGTCGCGCCAGGTACGCCTGCCGGCCCTGCGGGGCGCGATGGTCTCCAAAGTTCTGCAGATCGCCTCCCCCAACCCCACCCCGCCTGGCCCTCGGGTGCACGGGGTGGGGGAGGCCCCCAAAGCTCCCCAGCTCCCCAGCACGGGATCGGGGAGGCTTAGAGATCGCAGGGACCGAGCGCCCCGGGGAAGGGTTGGGGGCGCGCCGTTTGCGCCCCGGGCGCCCCATCGTAGCCCCCAGCCTGTCCCAGCTTGCGGGAGGCGGAGGACATTGGCAGAGGGGCGTCGGTTCCCCGTTCGGTTCCCGGCAGGCGGCTGGGAAAGCCAGGGACGCCGAGACGTTTTCGATTATAGGCTGTTTTTAATTAAAAGCCGGAATTCAGCCATTTTAACTGCATTTAAGAAGGGGGAGAAAAGTAGAAAGAACGCAGCGGATCCCGCAGATGGCCACGCCAGCTTCTCTGCCATTGCCAGGGTGTTCCAAAGGGGGTGTGGGGGCTTCATCCCGACTTCCCTAAAGTGGGGGCGCCCGGGCATACTTTAGGCGCTGGCTTTTAAAAGAAAGGCGCCCTAAGAATATTGTTTTCTTTTTTTTTAAATCACGGGAAGCTCCTCGCCGCCTTGAGGTCTGTATCCTCGGATGTGGACGTCTTAGATTTTTTCCAAAGTAAACGCGGATCTGGTAACCAGAACCTGATGCGAGCGAGCTGGAAAGGGAGGGAAGAAGAGTGGGTGTTTGTAACCCAAACCATGTTAAAATAGGCGCCCTTCGCAAAGTTGGGGGGGTCGGAGGCTGGAGAAGGGAGGCCCGGGTGGGTGTGAAGCTCGGGTGCTGGGCGCGGAGTTGGGGCGCAGGGCGAGCACCCTGGAGCAGGGTGGCTTTGGTGTGATCGGTGGTTCCAAGGGTGCCCGGGCCTCCCGGGGTCAGGAATCTGAGCTTCTGCGGAGCGGGCGGGCAGGTGGGCGGGCGGACAGTGAGAGAAGGGTGGGTTTCAAGACCCCTGTCCTGTCTGTCCCCACGGGAATCAGCCAGCGACAGCTTCAGATTGGAACTACAGGAGGATTTACCCAACGGCTGGGGGAGGCGCCCCATCGGCCGGCCAGCGCTGCGGTTCCTTTTGTAGGTCATTTTGGGGGTGTGTATATGGAGAAGCTAGGGTAGAAGAAAGATAACTTGATTCCCGCTTACTTCCCTCCGGACGCCCCCCCAAATCCTCAGCGTCAGGCTATGTCCTCCGGGCCCCAGGATTCCCAGGCCCGGCTGTTAGAAAACGAAAGCAAACCTTGTTTTGAAGGTTTCTTTCCAGTTCTCGGGCGACAATGCCACGTCTCTGGGTCCTGGAGCTCAAGACTGCAACTCACAGTGACCCGATTGGGGCTAGCTTCTTTAAAACAAACAAATAAATAAAATAAACCCTTTTCACTCCCTCCCACCCCGAACAACAACATCCAGCAGCAAAAAACCCCAAACCAAACACTTCTTCGGTGGCTAGCAGGGCGAGCTCAGGCAAGTCGAACTCAGGAAAGGGAGGCGAGGGCCCAAAAAGGTTAAATATTAAACTTTGCAGATCTGATAGTGACCTGGTGTTTAGGGACACCTTTCCAGCAGCTCATGGCAAGATTTCACAGGTTTGAACCCTGGAGCATGTGATCCCCTGGGAAGAAAACACTAAGAAGGTTTGTATTAAGCTGTCCGGGCGCGGCCGGCCAAGTGGATCCTTCTCCAGCTTCGGGAGGATCCGCCCGGTGGCCGCCGAGGCACAGTCCCGGCTTGGGGCGCACGGCGCGCACCTGTCACTTTCCCGAACCCGGGTCCCTGGGAGCTTGAAGCCATTAGAGGAAGAAACATGAATTTTGACTTTTCTCGAAAAGGGGCTACTCCCGATTTCATTCGTGGCTGCCAGATCTGCGCTCCCTGACCCCAAAGGGGAAAGCGACTTTGGGAAACTTGTTTATTTGTTATTTTATTATTTCCTTTTTTTTTTTTTTTCCTTCTCTGTGTTTTCCGTGGCTCGTCTCCTTCCCCCGTCAAGACACCGTGTGCGCCAGCTCCACCGGGCCACCCGGAGGGGCCCCACCACCGGTTGTCCCTGCGCCCCGGGCCGCGGGCCCTACGCCGAGCGCAAGCCCCGCTGGCCGCCGCCATGCCCGCCGCGGAGCCCCCGCCACCCGAGGACTCTGGGACTACGTCGAGGCCGAACTTTTAAGTCCCACTGAGCGAGGCCCGCGGGGCCGGGTGGGGGGGCTGGCCGCGGCACTCCCGCGGAGGATGGATGGCCGAGACTTCGGGCCCCAGCGGTCCGTGCACGGCCCCCCGCCACCGCTGTTGTCCGGCTTGGCCATGGACAGCCACCGCGTGGGTGCGGCCACTGCCGGACGTTTGCCCGGCCCGCTGCCACCCGGGAAATACATGGCCGGCCTCAACCTCCACCCGCACCCGGGTAAGTGTCCCGCGCCGCGTCGCGATCTTGGGGAGGGACACCCGGGAAGTGGCCAGGACTGGACGGCCGGTCCACCGGGGTCTGTGTCGAAGGGTGGGGTGGGGGGTGGGGGTTGCGGGCTCCCAAGGCAAGGAAACAAACCCTTGGGGTCCAGGATAGGGGCCATTCCCGAGGTCCCACTGGAGAGAAGAGGTGCTCGGCTTCGCTCCCAGGTGCCCGGACCTTCCCGATCGTCCCAAGGCTCTAATGTTGGCGGAAATGAGAGCCACCCGGGGACGGTCCCCATCCTGGACAACTGAAGTTTGCAAAATCTGAGCGAGGAAAGAACATACCAGCGTCCCCCCCACACCCCGTCCCCGGGAGCCTCCAAACTCCCCGGAGCTCGGATCTTTTTCTTGGCCAAAATGCCTTTCTCTGCGTCTGATGGGCCTCGGGTTCCGTCCCAGATTCGTCACTCTCGCAGGCCTTTCTCCAGCCCTGGGGAAATGCGGGATTATGGTGACCCTCGTCACCCCCCACTTCTAGGACCTTGGGGAGCTTTCCTTTTCCCAATAGGAGGGCGGTGATCCCGGCCCAGGGGACTTTGGCTCTGGCGGAACGAGGGCGCACGGCGCGGCGGGGTCGCCGCCATCCCCAATGTAGGGAAAGCAGGAGGCGCGTGGAGCGGATCGGCCCGGCGGGGTCCCAGCGGAGGGGACACCCGAGATCCAACCATGAGAGAGGAGGTGGCTTTCTGGAGAAGGCCTGGGTGGCATTCGCCATTTCTCTAGAGGGCTGCGTGGACGACACCGGGAGGGCGCAGTGCGGGGAAGGGAGCAGCTGGCCGGGTCCAGCCGAGCGGTGGCCGCCGGGAGCGGAGGGACCTTTGTGGGTGGCGGTGGTGGCTTCGGGAGCCCTGTCCCTTCTCCTCCTCCTTCTCCTCCTCCTCTCCTGGCTGTTGCTTGCTTCTGCATCTGGCCTTAAAGGAGAAGGGGGAAAAAAAATCGACCTTTTTAATTATTTTTGCAACCGTAAGTTTAGGACTTTTGCAGTTCCCCGGGGTGCCCCCACCATGCTCCCCTGGTCCTTGGAGTCTTGGAGAAGTCACCCCCCAACCCTCCAGGCCGCGCTCGCTGATTTTGTCTCTCTCTTTTGATTTTTTTTTTTTTTCCTGCTGGAACTTTTCAGGAACCGGAGTCTGGGGACTCGGCGGGACAAAGGGCCTTTGTGAGGCACCGGGCGGGGGAGGGGCGAGCGGAGATCCCCGCCGGCGGGGGCGCAAGGACCGGGTCGCCGCCCTGGGCGCGCGCGCGCCTGCGCCCCTTGGAACCTGGGGGGGGTCGCCTTCCTCCTTCAGGGACAGAGATTTCTCCTGAGTGGCACTTTGTGGTCGAGGTGGGGTGGGGGGAACCTAAGAACCCCGCCCTCCAGGCAGGACTGGGGATGGCCCCGGAGTACTAGGGCCCTGTCTGGGCCACCCCCTTGTGCACACCCTGGGTGGCCACAGTGATGGGGGTGCGTTTGCATGGCTTTGGGGGCTCTCAGAGCGGGTTAGTTAGTGTGGCCTAGGGTGGTGACATGAGCTCCTGTGTCCTTGGCTGCCTGGGCTTTGCTTTCCCTGTGCCCTGTCCCCAGCCTGGCAGTGTCTTCATGGAGCTGCTAGATAGCCACTTCCCTCCGGTGGCCTCTGTGTGCACAAAGCACCAGGCCTGAGTTGAACCTGACCACCTAACACCCATTTGGTGGATGGGAAGGCCAGCTTAGGAAGTCCAGCTGGAGGTGGCCTTGGAGTCCTGTGTCCAGCTTCCCTGACTGTTCTGCAGCAGAGGTCGTAGAAGAAATGGCAGGAAGGCCACTGCCACCCTCTGATGTCTTGCTCACCTGAGACGGACAAGAGAGAATTGTGGGGCCTGCAATCCTTCACTCCTGGACCCTAGGCCAACGCCCAGAGCCAAACCCGCACTAATCTCATTAAATACAATGTGAAGGAGGAATTGTTCAGGCTGGGCTGATTAGAAATTCCTCAACCCAGTCCTCTCCCACCCCATTTTCTTTGTGGGGTGCAGGTGCTAAATTTCTGCTTCCCCCAGGCACCACGCTCTTCTGTCTTTGGCTGTCAGCTCCTTAGGTCTTGCCAGCCTTCTCAGCCCCATCTTTGTTTACTTTTGGACAGAAAAGCCCAGAGAGGCTGAGCGATTTGCCAGGGTCACACAGCACTGTGGTGTTACCTTTGGACTGGTTCCCGTGGAGAGTTTGGTGGAGACCTGGCCGTGTCTACAGGTCACTCATTGTCCCTCCTGGGCCCAGGGAACTCCCCTTGAGAACTCGGACCGGATAGCTGCTGTGAGGGTCGGATGAAGGGGACCGTTGCTGTGCTGTGTGTCTGGCTAATTGGGTTTGGGTCCTACAACTTTGAATATTGCTGCAGTCAGTTATAAATATTCCCTCACAGCCTGTTATTAGCAGGGTTTTGTCCTTGTTCCCACACCCTGCACTGAATGGGAGTGGGGACCACGACCAGGACAGGGAGGCACCCTACACTTGGGCCCGGCCAGTGGACAGTAGGGGACCGGGGAGTGTCTACAAGGCCCATGTTGTTCATCTCTGGAATCCAGCCTGTCAGCCTACTGCGGCTGATTTAGAGAGATTGATCAGTTAGGACTGGGATTTTGGAGATAAGGACAATTTCCAGAACCCTTCCTTCTTTGGTCAGAGACAACCATGGAAGGTTCTGGAATCTGGCCTAGTTCTCCCTGGCTCTCCATGTTGGCTGCCTCCCCCTACTTTTTTCTCTTTTTTGCAATCCTTTCTTCTTTCTTCTCTTGTTCATTTGCTTAGCAAATAATTTCCAAGTGTTTCCTGTGAGCCAGGCACCGCTCCCGGGCCTGGAAGTGTAGCCAGCCGGTCAGACAGACAGACAGAAATCTCTGGCCTTGTTGGAGCTCACATTCTAGCACGGGAAGGAGGCCGTAAACACACAAGTCACGGAAAGGAAAAAAAACCTAAGCGGGCACACAGGCCGTGAGGGGTCTGGACTGGCCCAAGAGTGAGGGGTAAGGTCAAAGGGCTTGACCCCGAGGGGCACATGGAGTGGTCCCTATTGTGCGTGTGGAGAGCAGAAAAGGGCCGCCAAGGTGACGACGACACGGGACAGCGGTGGGGAGGGTGAGAGCCTGCGAGCTGCAGATCAGCCAGGCGCGTCAGGGAGGGCGCCAGGGAAGAGGCGGCCGGTGGATCCTGCCGTCCCCTGAAGGCCAGTAAACGAGGGCTTGGAATTTTACACGGTGAGGAATGAGGAGAGACATTTCGCAGAACTGGCCTGGATTCTTCAAGACAGAGAAAAAAAGTCCGTGGTATGCAAGGCAAAGGAGAGGTTAGAACTGCCTGTAATCAAACGAAAGTAAAAAAAAATGTAATAGCCAAAGGCCAAGTAACACCCAGCTAGAGTACCATCAGGTAGGCAATTGACAAACCAGAATATGGACTGCAGATTAGCTGATAGCGTCAGGTCAGAACCACGTCCCTGTCCCCCGTGAATTACTGCCCTGGTTATGTAAGAGTTTTTTTTTTTTTTAATTCCCTGGCAGCAGTGGGGCTTGAACTCAGGGCTTTGCGATTTTAGGCAGGCGCTCTACCCCTGAAACCACTCTCCAGTCCTGTTATTTTTCTGATAGGGTTTCAAATTTTTGCCCCCGGGGCTGGCCTTGAACCCAAGTCCTCCTACTTTCAACTTCCGTGTAACTGGGAATACAGGTTTACACCACCAGTTGCCTGTGCTGGCTGACCTCGGAACTTGGATCCTCCAGAGCTCTGCCTCCTGAGTAGCAGGGATTACAGGTGTGAGCCGCTGCACCTGGCCACCCTTGAGCACTTAGAAACAAGGGGTACCACGTCCATGTCTTGGGAGTGACTCAGAAAGAGGGAAAAAGAGTATTAAATGGTCTAGTCACACATGTGCACATGTGAGAGACAGCCACGCATCAGAATAAGGTCAAGTGACACTGAGTAGACAGTAGTTTGGAACTGCTGGACCCGGGGAAGGTCAGAGCATAGCAGCTCCTTGTACTATTTCAGACTTTTCTCTGCATTTGAAATGATTCCAAGATAAGCGTTACAAAAAAAACCTGAAACTGGCTGTCGGCCAGAGACTGGAAGACAGCACGGTGGACGGTCGTGGCAAAGAGAGAAGGCAGAGACCTGAGAGGAAGGCTGGGGACTGGCCTTGGGGTCGGGGGAGGAATATCTTGAGACATTGTTTTGGGGTGCTCTGGGTTCCCCTGCAGTCTGGGGTCGTAGCCTTCTGTCCAGATTTCAGTTTACGGTGGGAGGCATCCCAGCTCAGCTTCCCTCCTGTACTGGGGTTTGAACTCAGGGCCTTGTGCTTGCTAGGCAGGCCCTCACCCCCAGCTCCCCCCATCTCTGCCTCGTGCATAGGTGGGATTATAGGAGTGAGCCACCTCACCAGCCCAGCTCAGCCGTCGGAGGCAGGGTCCTTGCGTGGGTTGACTTAACTCACCGTGTGGGGATGGAGCCTTGAACACGCTGGGCAAGCGCTGACCACCGAGCTGCACCCCCAGCCCAGAATCAGGGTCCTGGTTTCTGGCAGAGGCCTGGCGTCGTCTCGGGAGGAAGTCACCGCCGTTCCTGTGAAGGCGCCCACCGTTGTATCTGAGGTGCTGGGCTGGGGTCGAGGTCTCCTCCTCCACTTGCTGGATGAATGTCAGCTTGGTGGGCCTCAGTTTTCCCACCTCTCAAGTGGGTCCACCTGGCTGTAGGCCGTCTAAGTTGCCGTGACACCTGGGCCTCTCTGCGGGAGTTCCAGCAAAAGTGATCTCTTAGCGGTCTCAGTTATTAGGCAATGAGTCACAAGACCCTTGAGGCCAGTCCAGGCCTCTCCCAGGGCCTCTGGAATGCCATACTCACTTCCTCTGGCTGCAGCCTGATCTTCAGCCTCAAAGGACCCAACCTGAATTAATCTTTTCTATTTATTTATTTTGGCTTGGGTGCTGGGGATCAAATGC